CATAAAAAATTTGGAACTAAAACTTGATCATTTTGACAACCTAAGTAATCTAAGCCATCAAAAATTTAATACTTCATTTAGTAAAGAACAGCGAAAGAAATAACAGAGAAGTAACAATGCACGCACCAGTAATAAAATTTGAAGCGCTATCGAGATCACTTAGAGTGCAGAATAAAAGATTTCTGATAAAGGTATCTATGCAATACTTTCTGTACTTATGCAAAACTATGAATCAGGAATTCACAAATCGTTGAAAGAAAACAATGACACTGACACAATAGGATCGTGCTAAGTCGGGGACATTCTTGTCTGATTGCCCATTTTTACGAAAGTCTGCTCTCTCACACTCAGTCCACGCCTCAGTTATTTGGAGTTGGTGCAATTGAGGTGGGTAAATGTTGGTGCGACCGTTTTTCACTCCTAATTCAGGATGTTTCGTACTTATGGGATGCAAAAACCTGCTGCAGATGTGCGAGGCAATCCTACTCGGCTGCGAAAACCTTGTGGTCATTATGCCACCTACGCATTCCTACTAACCAATATTGCATCTTTTGGAATATTCTTACGTTGTCCACAAAAGCAAGAACTGACCAAGTTCACATCGAACTGTGCACAATGTCCGGAGACATTTTCAGCAATTGAATCCATTGTGACAGAGGAGGATGCGGAGCAGAACTTACCTAACAGACTGTGGTGGTGTATAAGGAAGGAGTTTCGGAGGAAACACCTACTACGTAATAGGACCAAATCAGCGCCAATGCTTGCTGGGAAAAAATGGTCGTGCACTTGTACAGGGTGGCCACGAATTACGGTAACAAGAGCGTACCGCAAACAATTTCAAAATTGAAAAGATGAAGTTTGAATGTTCATTCTTTAATTTAACCACTTAGGATCCATTTACTTTGAACTGTTCGAGCCTTTTGCTCTTCATTGAAGGCAGCGATTACGATAAAGTGGGAGCGCATCGGGGAAGCATATGCACCACACGAATCAGTTACTTGGCTGCCAGGAAGCGAGGTGTAGCGCTTTCACGACGAAGGTGCGCTGGTTGCTGAGCAGGACTTCGAAAGCACTCCGCCCCCAAAAGCGATCCGCCCACTAGTTTAGTTGGTGATTTGGACGAGCTGCGTTGCCAGCAGCGGCACAACTGGAGCAACTCGATTGGAGCATGGTTTGGCATGGCACCAAACGCGTTGCGCTGAACTCGTTCATACGTCCGCTTTCTGAGCTGTTACCTGTTCATGAGTGAAAACCAACGGCCAAAAAAGGGTCCCGTTTTGCGTTTTCTTGACGGATTTCTCCGCTTTTTTCGCCACTGGCGTACCATTGAGCACCACCACGTCTCCTATAACCTTCTTGAACCTATCGTAATCACTGCCTTTGAGTAATCGCTCGCTTGTCATGTCCCGTCAAGGTGGCTGGTGGTGTTACGTTGAGGGATCTTCAGAAAACCTGCAACGACCACTGTTGCGAAGAACAATCGACTAGGTGTTCGGAACGGTTGGTCTGAACATGGAAGAGAAGCTTCTGTTGTTATCAAGAACGATATTAAGAAAGTACCGCACCTTAGATTACCCCACTTCAACCTACAATTCACGCTGGACCCGATGTGTGGAGAAGAGGAGCACTGCTGCCAACAACAAGACGAGGTAAAGATACAAGAAACCCGTTCATCTCGCCATGGACGCACCAAGGTCGGTACTATCAACGCGCCCGGTCAGGCGTCATTCCCTGCGGAGGCTTCGCTTACTCAAAGCAAATAAGTAAGCTACTAGGAAGATGAGGTGGTTTTTGTTTACCAGACTTCCAGTGAAACATATCTTGCTTCCAGCTGATTCTTTTAGTTGTACGATTTCCATGACAACTTTCATCTGGTTACGTAAATTGTGGCCGATCCTGATACATATGGACACGGAGCTTGCTGCTTGTTTAGACTGGCAATTTTTCATTAAAGGGCGGCTGAACACGCGAATCGGAGATCGGCGAATTAATCAATACATGCACGCCATCCTGGGGTGATATTCATCAAAGAAAATGAGACTGAGAAGAAAAAGCTATATGAATCACTTTTGCTTCCCTGAGTTGCCAGTTCAGTAATTTCCCTGAACGTAATCGGAGCGGATATCGCTTGGGGTGATCTAATGTTCACGACTCCGGAAGGACCCATCGACTTAATAGTTTGTTATCGAATAAAAGTAAAGGATTGTTACGAATCATGAGCTTTGAACGCCTAGGTGTACACCGGGAAGGTAGTCCACTTTAATATGTGTGAACTACATGAACTATATGGATCTCTATGAGTTCAGCTGAAAGCGAGGGTAATCAGCCATTACTACGGGCAACACGAACACCAGCTTTGCAGGGATTATGAAAGAAAAAAGCAACAAATAGCGAAATAACTGGGTAAACCCATAAGCAATTAAAGTGCTCATACTCAGAAGTAAACCGGCTTAAAGGAAGCGATTACGATAAGGAAAGGGCGCATCGGGGAGCATATGCGCCACACGAAGCAGTTACTTGGCTGCCAAGGAAGCGAGGTGTGGCGCTTTCACGACGAAAGGTGCGCTGGTTGCTGAGCAGGACCTTCCGAAGCACTCCGCCCCCAAAAGCGTTACGCCCACTAGTTCAGTTGATGACTTGGGCGAGCTGTTTGCTGTTGGCTTTTCATTTTGGATGATCATTTCCCTTTTAGCGGCTGTATCTTCCAACTTGCCCATGTAATGCCTTATCAATCAAAACACTATGCTTGGCATGATGGCGGCTATCGGGGTTAACACGTCCGAACAACTTCGTTCTTTACCGTCGCTCATCCATGGTCGAAAATGAAAGGGCAATCAAAGGGGTACTATTTTGCTTATTTTTGACGGATTTCTTTGCTTTTTTCGCCATTGGCGTACTATTGAGCACCCCCACGTCCCCTCCAAACCCCTCCAAAATCCATCGTAATCGCTTCCTTTAAATGCCTTTAGTTCACTAACTTTAGATCAGAATCCATCAAGAGCGACTACCTCAAGTAAGGATATCGCTGTGGAAAGCTCGAACGAGCGCATAAACGAGTCACAAGTTTCACATTTTCCACTGGTGCAGTTGCATTGTGAGCCGAATCTGTTCATACATTCAGAATCCTTAGCGCATTCCATCGGAGTGCTGTGACGGGGACAAACATAGCAGATGGCCAGCGAGCTTCGACTACGATCAGAAATGACCATCTCAAGCAGTCGACGCAGCCGCGGCATGTTTAGTCGAGCATCGGCACCAAGCACGAACTGTAAAGAGTGAACCCAGTGAGGTATTACAGGACATAGTTTGAGGAATTTCCGATGGATTTCCGAATATATCTATACTTACGTTTTTGTACAGTAATGCAAGTCTGGGTTAGTATAGTCAAAGTAAATCCTTCCGATTGGCTGTGCTACTAACTTTATGAGATTTTAAGGACAGTTCCGCGATGGACTGCTCCAACTACCGCGGTATCAAATTGACTGCGCATACAATGAAGTTGTACGAGCGCCTGGTCGACTCGAAACTGCGGGACCTTGTCCAGATCTCCCAGGAACAGTTCGGGTTCATGCCCGAAAGGTCTACAACGGATGCCATCTTCATCGCTAGGCAAGTGATGGAGAAGTATCGCGAAAAGCGCAGGCCTTGCTACCTAGCCTTCCTCGACCTGGAAAAGGCGTTCGACCGGCTACCGCGAGCAGTGCTATGGAGGTCACTCAGGGAATGGAAACGTGCCAGAACACCTGATCTCTCTGGTGAAGGACATGTACGATGGGGCGAAGGCAGCTATACGCACCCCACACGGCCTAACGAAGGAAGTGGACATCACGGTTGGGGTGCACCAAGGGTCAGCTCTGAGCCCGTTCCTCTTCCTCCTAACACTAGATGTCCTGGTGAAGGGGCTCATGGAAGGACCACTGAAGACCATCCTCTACGCTGACGACATCGCCTGATAGCGGATAGTAGAGAGGAACTTCAAGCCAAGGTGCAGAAATGGCAGAAAGTCCTGGCAGAAGGTGGGCTACGGCTGAATGTCAAGAAGACCAAGTTCCTGAGCTCCGAAGAGGGTGCAGAGCCGATCGTGGACGGCCATGGTGAGACCATCGAAGGGTGGAGGAACTTCGAACCAGAGTCAACCCTGCGTTGCGCAGTTCGCAACGGCACGTTGAGAGATCCTCAACGCACGCTGTATGGGCGGAGACGCAGACGGCTCGAGCATGCGAGTGTGAATGTTCGCGCGAGAGAACGTGTCTAATCGGGCGAAACTGCGCAACGTGGCCGTTGAGAACTGCGCAACGCAGGGTTGACTCTGCTTCCGGTACCTTGGAAGCGATCTGGCAGCCGACGGTAGTGTGGATCAGGCGGTGAAGGCTCGGGTCAACGCTGCATGGATGAAATGGAGGGAGTCCACTGGAATCCTCTGCGACGAAGGTGCTCCAGAGCGCTTAAAGGAATCTTGCGCGGAAAATTCTTGCACTCTTTCCTAACATGAATATGTCAGTTGTGATCACTGGAAATAGCACACAAAGTTTCACGCATGAAGATTCGGTTTCTGAAGAGAAACAAACGTACAAAAACTACACGTTATGGACCATCGAAGGACCAGGAGGCAGAGCCAGGCGAGGCATGGAAAGAAGACGGCGTTTGGCCGGCTACGTACCAGGCGACGCAATGAGAGAATCGGGTTAAAGCGCGCGATTTCGGAGAGTGGAGACAAATCGATCGATGGAATAGGATGGAGTAGAAGTGTAAGATGTGAATGCAACGAAGCAGAAGGCCAGAAAGAGCTTCTAGTGAATGCCAAGTTTGAGCATCCCCGTCGCCAGCATTCGTGAAAGACGTCCGTGGGCAATTCGAACGCGTAGCAGCCTTTTCGAGTTTTCGAATTTCTAATCAAAACGAAAGCAATACTTCAGTTCTTTTCACTATTATCGTGGATAATGAGTCTCAAGCCAGTGATTTATGGCTGAAATAGAATCATGATTTTTCCGCGCAAGATTCCTTTAAAGGGAAGGTGTACCGGACAGTGGTAAGGCCTGCGATGCTCTACGGCAGCGAGTGCTGGCCTTGAACAAGAATCACGAAAGGCAGCTTCACTCCGCTGAAATGAGGATGCTGAGATGGGCCTGCGGCTGGACGCGGCTGGACAGGGTTAGAAACGAGGATGTCAGAGCGGTCATGCAGACTGCCCCTGTCCAGCTGAAGGTACGGAACAGCGTCTGCGATGGTATGGGCATGTGCTAAGGAGGCCACAGGACCATCCATAAGAACAGCGATTCGAAGTACAAGGCAAGCGACCGCGAGGAGCCCCAAGAAAAGGTGGAAAGACGTAATCAAGAAGGACCTAGGTGAGGTCACGGCCACGATGGAAGATGCCCTGGACAGAGCAAAGTGGCGACGACTGACAAAAATAGCGGGGAGAAGATTTGATAGAGTGCAATAAGCTCAGGTGTTGAGAAGGACGCTACTGAAATAGACGTAATCAATTTGTAGTTCCAAATCAGATAGAGTATGAAGAAAGACTTCGAAAAATTTGACAAGAGGAGGCTGCAAAAAATTCCCGGTTCCGAAGAGCGGTCTGTCCTTCTTTCATCTAGTGGAAATGCCCCAAAATCCGTGCAGTTGTATGCAATGTTGGATGGATTCTCCTCAATAACCTGTGAACTTCAACTCAGTAATACAATAATAGTAAGACTACATAGTAGGGTCAACAAAACCTCGCAAAGGCGAAACTGCATGAGGAGAATGTTGTGATGCCTGTTGTGCGGTCTGCGGCAGGCGCAGCTCTCCGAGCACACCGATGAGAGTCGCATCAGTGTGGAAGTTAACGGACAAGGAAGGAGTCCCATTTCTCGGGTTCCGAGTCGTTTCACATGGTTTCTTCTTCATCCCTCCACAGACCACCTCTTCCTTAATTCTAATGGGCTGCCTTCTAAATGTAAACTCGCCTTCCAGGTAGGTAAAAATCAATTCTTCTATGGGTAAAAACATTACTCCTATATTCAGTGCCGTCATTGTTAAAGACCTAGGTCGTAGAGATAACATGACGAGTGTAACGTTTTTTAAGCTGTGATCAAAGCAGACATCCTTTGGTGGGCCGAATAGTGTCCATGAATGTACACAGTTGGAACTAACGAGAAGTAGTGCTGCAGAGCACCTTTTCCTGAGCGATGCTTTTTTCAATGATTTTTTTTCTTAAACGGTGACCTCCACAAAAGTACCCATTTGTACGGGGCTTGCGCGCCTTATTTGTTCACAGACATCCAAGCCACAACTTGACCATCATCAGTCGAATTATTCAAATCACAATGTTTTGTGGAAATTTGCATACCTGCTCTTGTTCAAACATCTCTCGCTTCGAGAACAAATTCGACAAATGACCTATTTCGTCCTTTACCAGCTTGAGGTGACGACAGAGAAACTCGTACACTAGGTTGATATTTGACGCATTGAGCGAATTATGATTGATTGATATAGCATCTTCCTGAATAAGCATTTCAAGCAGTAAAGATTCGGTAACGGAAAGTTCTTCAAAAACTTAGGAATTATGGGAAAAATTGAAATAGGTGTCACCTACAAGGTTGTGAACTTGGTGGTACCAGTTCGTTGGTACGAAAACGATTTCACCAGGATTCTGAATCAGAACCATCACGTCCGCCTAAAAATGGGTCAATATATTCTTCAAATATGATGCTTGACAGTAAAATAAAATTATTTTATGTTAGCTTCTACTCACTAGCCAGTCCTCTTCCACTGTCAACTCCTAAAGGAGGATTCCAATAAGGCCGGAGGTCGAAGAAGTGCAACTTACTCCTCATAAGAAGGTTTTTCTGGCACAATTGCTCCTATTACTGCCTCCCCCGCCCCACTCCTCAAGAACTGAGCCGGATTTTGATCGAAATTCGTCCATGACTGTGGATTTTGCTAGAAACTTGCCTTCAGGGGTAATTTGACCCGTAGATCACGAATATAATACCGGTTTAGAGCGAAAACGCTTGGCGCCCGCGCCACAGGCGCCGGCGCTATCACAACAGTTTTGCGCGGGCGCTCGTAGCGCAGGCTACAGGTTCACTCGTAACAAACTGATGTGATAATCATATTCTACGGGTCAAAATACCTCTGAGGACAACTTTCCAGCGAATTTGGGGATCCGAGATGTTCTGGCGCCTTTTGGCGCCGGCGCTTCTGACGCGAGCGCCAGGCGTTCTAGCGGTAAACAAATGTGATATTCGTGTTCTACGGGTCGAATTACCCCCGAAGACAAGTTTCTGGCCAAATTCACAGTCAATGACCAATTTCGATAAAAAGCCGGCTCAGTTCTCGAGGAGTGGGGCAGTAAAGGGTAAATAGTGCCGTTTTTTCTTAATTCTTGTGCAACTGAGCTCCTCTAGCTTGATTTCTGATGGGGCAATCTTTATCCGTGAAACAGCCGCTCTTAAAGGACGAATTCACGATGAAAAAGCAACCCATTTCAAATTAACCTAGGGAGTGAGTGACGAAAGAAGGAAGAACCATGAGAAACGGCCCAGAACCCGAGAAATGGTACCCCTTCCTTGCCCGTTGATTTGAGCATTGATGCGACTCTCATCGCTGTGCCCTCTTCAACACTACGCTCTCTCAGCTATCTAATCACTCGCCACGTATTGAACTACGGCGAGTGATCAGATGATCGGTGGGCGGAGATCGCCGGACCCGCCAGCTTTGAGGCATGATAGGTCGCCGAGGTCAAATTTTTCCATGCGAATTGCGCGTCAGTTCGCACCCTCAGGAGGTCCGTGGGTCCCTCAACTAGGTCAGTTTCCCTTTCTTCGACCTTCATTCTAATCGTGAATTCCTCCTTTAAGTCGTCATTTCCACCTGCTAGTATTCTTCCAGCTGGAGCGAATAGAGAATTTCTTTTTGAATTTTCTAATTTTTAAATTAGTTTCTAATTTTTAAACATTTCCGTATGCCATTTCTTATTGTTAGGTAATTTCGAGCACTGCGTGCATTGTACAATTTTCTCCAACAGTTTTTCGCTACACCCTGGCAGTTTCGGGACAACTGGCGCTGCCACAATATGTGTGGTTCAGGAAGGGAAAATTCAGAACCAAAACTCATCCCATCCAACTCTGACTTTCATCCCCTTGAGGTCGATTACCGGATTCGCATGAAACAATTAAATTCCTGGCTTGTACTTTGGCTGGGCTCCACAAGACAGCAGAGGCAAAAAAGAGAATGAATTGTTCGGCTTCAATCAACTTCGTTTCTTTCCTTGTGTTCCATGCATTCGGCTCACATTTCAAACATCAAACTTAGTTGCTTATGAATTGCACGTATACATTGAGCAATAGATTGACAAGGTCATACCCGTGTAAGGCCCCGTTCATAGATCGCGGTTAATGCGATTTAGCGATTATGCTGACAGGAAGAAATACGTATCGATCTAAATTTTGCCGATTACGCGATAAAGCGATTGACGATTTGGCGGTTATGTTCAAACTAGGGTGCACATTGATTGAACTGACGCCACCCAATAACCATTCCTCGATACGATATGTCGACGATCCTCTGGTCGATACGCATACATTCCTTTCACCATAGCCGCTAAATCGTCAAATCGCATTAACCGCGATCCATGAATGGGGCCTAAAAAGTGTGACATTCAATCTCCCAAACGAATCTGGTATCAATGAACCCAAACGAATCTGGTATCAATGAATGTGTCCGAAAGCATTGGTATGCTTGGCTGGCACGAACCCACTACCCAACACTGCACCTTGCAATAGGCTAAATGTCCATTAAAATGCTACTGCTAATTTTAATGCAATTATATTTAACGACACGGAACAGAAGGAAACTTAGCTGACCATTCTATAGATGAAGGCCATCAAAAACCCTATCTCATCTTTGAGAAATGTGGAGTTTGAATCCCAGATCGTCACAAAAAAAAACTGTGGTAAAAAACAATATTGGACGAAATTAAGTGCGTTCACCTTTTCCCACAGATCCTGATACTCTCTGATATCTTCAGCAATTTCTTTGCCCTTCATGAAGACGTTCTCATTGCCAGGAGGAACAAAATACCATAATTTACGCCCGCAAATATTTGCTGACCAACTATGCGATGACATCACATCCGAGTGGAATTTCGTCCTGAATCTGTACTTTTGCCGTTGTCAGATATACGACCTCACATGTGCGCAAATGGGGTGTCCCCAAGAGGCCCACCGCGCGGCGAAGGAAGAGACGCAGACGCGGCAAAGGACGAGTCGCAGCGCGTGCTGTGCGATATGAGGTGATGTGCGACATAAGCATTGGTGCACCCTATTTAAAGCGAGAGATTACGATAAAGTGCGTATGCAGCGTGGAAGTACATGCACCATTGGAAGCAGTAGTCAGGGGCCCAAGGAAACGAAATGTTGCGTTTTTGTGGTCAAAGGTGCGCTAGTTGCAGCGTACAAGGCTTGCCATTCCTTTCTGAGCCCCGCCACGGTCTGTGCTCCGCCCCCAGCAGCAGCGCCCTTCGATTGCCAATGTGACGAGATATTCCACTTCCAGAGTGTATCCTATAACTTTTCATGGGATGCGTGATCAATCAAAGCATGATGCTTGCTGAAATGATAGAGGCTATCAGCATAACATGTGCAAACGACCTCCTAATTGGTTGCTAGCTCGTCCATTATCGGAGGTCAACGGGCAAAGAAAGGGTCCCATTTTGCGCCTTCTTGACGGATTTCTTTGCTTTTTTCGCCACTGGGGCATTATTCAGCATCTCCACTTCCACTATGAACCCAGTCCAATCTTATCGTAATCCCTCGCTTTAACCTGACGCTCAACCACTACAGTATGAGACTCGCCCTTTGCCACGTCTGCGTCTCTTCACCGCGCGACGGGTCTCTTGGGGGACACCCGCGCAAATGCCGAAGCAGTAAAATGCGAGCTAAGGGAAATAAAATACGGGGAAGGTCTCTAAAAAGAATTCTATATGTAAGAGTTTCGATGTCTGGAACAAAAATGTTCTGCAGCATTTTCATGAATTCAAAATTACAAATAAACTACCAAGAATCCTTCACTCCAAAATAGACGAATCGATAATCACCACGAAATGGATTTTCGTCGTCATCGGACCACTCTTCACGATTTACCCAGTCGCTTGACAACATCGCCGGTACGTTATACATTTCGATACCGCATCTCAAATAAAAAGCTTTTATTAGGTTGTCCCATAACCAGTGAATCACTTTACATTAAAGGCAGAATTTACGATGAAAAGTTAGCTCATTGGAAATAAGGGTAGTGGTCAGTGGAGCAGGGATGAAGAAGAAACCATTTGAAACGGCCCGAAACCCGAGAAATGGGACCCCTTCCTTGCCCGTTGATTTGCGCATTGATGCGACTCTCATCGCTGTGCCCTCTTCAACACTACGCTCTCTCTCTCTGCTATCTAATCACTCGCCACGTATAGACCTGCGGCGAGTGATTAGATAGTCGGTGGGCGTACCCCGCCAACCGCGCCAAGAGTGAGCCATGCTAGATCGCCGAGGTCAAATCTTTCGCTGCCAATTGCGCGTCGGTCAGCACCCTCAGGGAGGTCCGCCTGTCTCCCAACTATGCAATTTTCCCCTTCTTTGACCTTCGTTCTCATCGTGAATTTCTCCTTTAATTGCCACAAAAAGGCTCCCCCACTTTCTTCACGATTTGGGGCGCGGCCGCGGCGAGCGCGGACGAGTCCACAGTGCCCGCGAACTGTGGTGATGGAGCGTTTTCAAATTTACCCGCACGCTCGCGGGCATTAGGCCGATGTCATAGTTTGCGAATCGAGCGATTCGCTAGCGAATCGCTGGATCCGAGCGTTGCGCCAGCGAATCGAACGTTGCACCAGCGAATCGAACTTTGCGCCAGCGAGTCGAACGATGTACCAGCGAGTCGAACTAGGTACCAGCGACTCAATAGTGGCGGGACCCAACGTTCAAAGGAAGCCCGCCACTTTCAAACAGTGTCACGTGACAGTGGACCCTTTTTGAAAGTGGCGGGACTTGACAGTGGACACTGTTTGAAAGTGGCGGGCTTCCTTTGAACGTTGGGTCCACTATTGAGTCGCTGGTACCTAGTTCGACTCGCTGGTACATAGTTCGATTCGCTGAACTGAACGCTCGATTGCGCACTATGAATCGGCTATGACATCGTTGCGCTCAGGGCGTGGCCGCGACCAAGATCGTTAACAAAGTGGGGGAGCTAAACTTAGAAAAGTGGTGAAAGGACGTGAACATGTTCCGTGTAGGCATGCCATTGAGCCTAACCTGAAACAAGGAAGATGTTAATCTATTTACACGCTGCTTTCCGTTGCTATTACTTCCATTTTTCTTGAACTTCGACGACAATATCGTCCAGGAGATCGTCTGGTTTTGATCAAGGAATGATCTACCGAGCGCGCGCCAACGATGGATATAAAGGACCGATTGAAAAGTCGTCGGCGCTTCATTTAAATCCAATCCAATTTTTTGGGTTTCGTTTGTTTGCTGCACCAAGACTCTTCTCTTGACCCTCCTATTTCTAGAAAAGCGAGTGGTTCTATCAAATCTTTCTTCTGCAATGAATCTGTCTATTCGATGGATACATTACGCGAGATGCATCTATATCTCTCTACATTCTGCCAGTGAATCTCCTTAAACCTATCCACTATCGATTAGGACCTTTCAAATGCCAAACAAAATAAAAGGACAAACAGAAAGAAAGGCGAGGGAGACTCTTCGATAACCTATAGCACAGCGCTGGGTGACTTAAGGGTCTGGTTTTTCTATTCGAAGACTGATCCAGATCCACCTCTCAACTAGGCAATCTCACACTGTGCGCGACTGAAAGGATCTGGAGAACAAGCCGTTATTTGCCAGTGCGCTTTGTTCGACAAGTGTTGACGGTAGCAGAGAACAGTATCCTAATGGGCTCGTAAAGGTAGAGAAATATGTATTACAAGCGAACATGCCCTGAGGGCAACCTCGCCCCCATCCGCGGGGCCATGCCTCAATCGTTTTCTTCTGTCTACGTAGCGAGCGAGTCTGGTGGTTACAAACAGACAGACACACCAAACTACTGCTTTATATGTAGAAGGGATAGTTCGCATCTCACATGCTCTCACATCAGACCGAATTAGCTCTAAACACGATCTGACATCCCCATAATCCTTCTGATTTTCCCACAGTTCCTTCTGATGATCATCCGCATATGCACTAGCAGGGTTAGTGATCAAGACACACGTCAAAAGCTCGACAGCGACGCCTTCAAACTGGAAGCGAAACGCAGCGCAAGACAGGTTTTTTTCTAAGGTCGTGCAACCTCAATTAGAGAAATTCTAAAATGGAGACTTTAGAGCGACAATTTTCTTAGCTCTGCTGTGTAGCGCTAAACCTCGTGCCAACTAATAAAAACCTACTCTGCTCTCTAGCACCTTCCCCGCGAAGAAATTTTGCGCTAACAAGGGAGGTCGTTCAGGGTGTGCCAAGCTTTTTCAAAATGGTTTCTTGCATGACATTGGGGCACATATGGGAACCACAGAAGCATGGTTCATTTTTCCTGAACGGCCCTCTGAATACCAGAAAAGGGGTCCCTAGTTCGATTCCTCGTGGTGACAAATTTTTGCATTTCGAGTTGACGTTTCCAAATTCGCGCAAAATGGAGTTAGCATGAATAATTAGTACCAAATTCATGATTAGGAACGTCAGTAACCCTTACAAATAGACTTTGATTGAAAAACTGGTGAAAAAGGTGTGACTAGGGACCCCCTTTTCTGGTATTCAGAGGGCCGTTCAGGAAAAATTAACCATGGTTCTGTGGTTCCCGCATGTGCCTCTATATCATGCAAAAGACCGTTTTGAAAAAGCTTGGCACACCCTGAAAGACCTTCCTTGTAAGTGACGCAGTCCCAATGTTGACATCCTATCTTCTTCGATCAGAACTTTACGGAATTCCATAAGAATGGCAGCGAGCGGCTCCCATGCATAGATAATGTTTTGTAGATGATGGGGTGTATGTTTGGATGAGCATGCACTTAAGAGTAATGATCAAAAAAAGTTCAAAAATAGCCAAAGTGGTTCACAAATTATGGGGAATTAATACAAAAATTTAAAACCTCCATGAAAGTGGCCAATTATAGAGAGAACGATTTGGATTTGAAGAACACCATGAAAAAAGGGACCATATAATTCTAGATACTTATCCTTGTCTGATTTCTTGGCACGACCAGTTAGGTGTGGTTGCAGCGCCGAAAACGGATTAGAGGTACGAAGCGGAGCGACAGTGATGAAAAAACGGCGAGAAGTCGTCGAAAACACCAGAAGAGGGGTGCTCTTCTCTCAGCTGTGAAGGAGTCCAACAAGAGAAGGATCCCAGGTCGAAGTGGGTGTTTGTGATGAGACATATAACGCTAGATGTGTTTGGACGCTGATTTCAGATCTGCCTTCCAAAACTGCGTAAGGATTTTCTGAACGACGCAGTTAACGCGTCTTGCTCAGCGCTGCTTCCCATATGCTATGCTGCTTGCATGGAAGCCCCTCATAAGCATAGATGAGGCAGAGGGCCAAAGTAAGGTACAGCGCACTTGGTAGCGGAGCAACTTTGTAGATGTGAGGTACCGGTCGCTGACGTTGAATTCTAAATGTTTGCACTTTGCTGTTTCAAACAACATAGCTGGAGCTCTATGTATTTTGTCAATGGTTACCCATAGCTGCCCATATGTACAAAGAGTATGAGCGATTCCTCACAAGTGTGGACACAATTTTCCCATGATTAGCACCTGATCAGCGCACGTGAAGTAAGCAAACGAGCCCTTTTGGCGTTTCTAGCTGGGGCCGTATGCTGAATGTTGGGGAGGGGATGAGGTCTCCGACGGTCGACGGACGGGCTACTTCAACTCGGTCCTCAAAACCGCATCAGTTTGATGCTCGCCTCAGGACTAAGCCTTAAAGACTGAGGGACGCGACCTTTCGAGAGACGCAAGTCCGCCTTTCCCAAGGCTTAGTCTTGGGGTAGCAAACAGCCTTGGCGGAGGTTCGTTGACCAATTGTACCCTTGGTTATCACTCACCTGACCGTACCGACGAGCTTCAGGTTGCCGCCTGATCTCGCGGGACCATCCCCTCCATGTTCAGCATGACGGCCTCAGCAGAAACGCTTAAAGGGTCGTCGGGTTGGCCTTACCTCAGCGCACCTTACCCTTACCTTAGCTGTTTTAAGAAAGTCTGTGCTTAGCAAAACACGTGTTATACACGCACAGTGGGCCAAACTACTTTCTGAAGGCCAATTCCCAGTCAAATCTGAGATTGGAGCGAGTTTCAAAAAGTAGGCGAACGGTCGTTGATGTAATTCCCAGTCCACTAACACTGGGGCTGACCTTCCATGAACGACGGCGAGCATTTGCATTTGAAAATACAGCAAGTGAATTCTCGGACAATGCAAGCTAGTAAGCCAGACACCGCTTTTTTCAGGAGTATACCTGAAAATTTAATTTCATCCTATGATTAGACTCTCACAATTGGTTGGTGGAAATGTGACTGCCCACATTCCCAGGTCTAGCTAAAAATTTCTCCAAAGGCTACTTTCATCCGCTAAGCGAATATTTGATCTGTTTGGCACAAAAGTGCCATGCACTGCGGTGCATCGTGGGCAAGTGGCTCCCAGATTGCTCGGAGTTTCTAGCTAGCTTCTTACACTGCTAAATGTACTTTTGAGCCGCGAGAACGGCACTTCTGCAACTTTCGTAGACGGCTCTATTCTACCGAACGGGGGTACTGATCTATCTAACCTTACCGGGAGGGGGTGTGCCTCTAACGAACAACAATACTCCAAATCACCGCAGACAACGCCATTCCGCGATGAGGGACTATCTTTGGATAAAGGTGATCACAATGGACCATCTTATTACCGAAATTTTCACACACTGCAGCGTAATACAGACTAATTTGGGACTTATGAGATGGGAAAGCTCTATAAGATGGCTCAAAACCATGGCTCATTAGATCTGGAAGGCAAGCTATGAGACTCAAAGGTGCCATCAAATATTCTTTCCAGTTTTCATTGCTTGGAAAGACAAAAATTAGAAGGAACAATTGCCAGTCTCTGCTCAATCGCCATTAATTTCCAGCGCCAATCGTATAATGAATGCGTGCAGAAAAGGAGTGAGGCATATA